CCTGGCAAGTTTATTGAAAAAAATTTAGGGGGAAAAGGAAAGGTCATTTGATCTGGACCCATGTGTTTATTTTTTAGTTCAGGTTGCCACAGAAATGGAAAATCTTAGGGAAGTTGTTATGTCTGGATTGACAGAAAACAAGCAACGAGACAAGCCACTCAAACAGGCCAATGACAGTGTCTTGTATTAGAGCATTAAAAGATGTCTCAGGAGGACCATGGTTGTGATTTTAAACAATTTTCTGTGTATATGCAATAACAGAGGCAAATTCCTGAAGACACATTTATGCATACAAAAACAAGCAATATCACCCACACAGAAGTCCTGCAGACCTACAAATAAGCAAAACAAACCAGAGCAAACAAGGAATTTTGCAGTTCAACTGGGGAAAAAATAAATCCATTCTGGTCAAACCAAAATAGAAAATGTTTTCCCCTCTTCCCCCTCCCTTGCTGAAAATAAAAAGTTGTTTTTTTTTTAAATCAACCCAAACTCAAATTTGGGATTTAATTTGGGATTATTCAAATCTTCTAACATATTTTCTTTCAACTTAGATCCATTACAAACAAAAAAGCCCATTCCAAAAAGTAAAAAAGTTTCCTAGCAATGCTGAAGTAGTGTTTTGCCATTTCTGAAAATGAGCATTTCACTTTAAAATGTCATTTGACATTTTCCAGACTATTTCCTTCATTCTTTTTCCAACCCAAACTGTTAATTAAATTTGATCCAAACTCATGAATAATTTGGGCCCGCCCAAACTACATAGCAAATTTCCTATTCATGAAAACATTTTGTCCAACATTTTTGCACATAAAAAGGCTCCCAGTGCTACATATGTAGAGTTATGTGGTTCATATGCACACCAATAAATTGGTTGGCTCCTCCTAGTCATCAGCATATTGGCCTTTCATTTCTAACCACACGTTTTTCCACTCTTAATCAACTATTTCTTTGTTGTTATTTCACTGGGAATTCCAGGAGCACCCAAACATTTATATGGTATGTGTGTGTGTGTACACATAGACATGCACACGTGTACATACGTACATATATACAGTAAACCGTGGCAACATTTCTGAGACTCCCATTCACTCTAGTTTCTCCTTTTCCTCCACCTCTCTCATTCCACCAGTAGATGCTCAGCCCCTCCCCGTTGCATGTCTGAAGTGCAAGAAGATATGCTATGTTCTTCCAGCAGTGGCTTTTGGCAGCCTGCCAAACCTCAGGCAGCTGCTTTTTCCCCTTCCTACTAGCAAGAGAGCTTTGGAGTTTCTGTTGATCTTGTCACATGAATTACCAAGCACTCCAAGGCTGTTTCTTCCTGAAAAAAATGACAGTTTCCCAGCCTTTGCCTTCAGTGCTGTGAGATTTGCCACTCAGATGAATCATATAGTCATTAAAACTGGAAAACCCTACTGGGTCATCTTTTCCATTTCTCCTTTCACCCAAGCTGGTAAAGAATTGCTCCCTAGAGAACATTCTGCAGTAATGTGTCAAGTCCAGTAAAAAGTGACTCAAGCAATAGGACTTCCACCTCTTCCTTTGTGAGGAAGAAAAAATGTTTCCTGATCTTCAAAGTGTTTCATTTGCTCAGTTTCATTCCGTTACTTCCAGCTAGTCTACACAATGCCTTGTCTTCCTGTATGTTTTCATCCATCAACATCTCTAGATGGTTGGTATATCCCTTCTAGCTGTCATATGCACAATGTGCACATGTATGAAGTCCTTTTAATTGCTTCCATAATTCAAAGATTCCAAAAGTCTCTTCACATTCACACATAGGCAAAACTCACACTCCCAAGAGATACCCAAGAGTCACTGTTCATCCTCATCTTTATAAAAAGCACCCGATTGGTAAACTGAGACAAGAGCACATGCTTAAGGTTTTGTGCCATACTGCCTGACCACAATGGCTTCAAAACTCCTGGAGTCAATAAGGCCTCAAAATCCCAAGATGGATCTGAAACAATAGGCAGACCACAGGAGGAAAAGTTTTCTGGTGTCATCAGTGCCGTGGCAAGGAAGTTTAGCACCCAGGGCAAAGCCCGCAGTGGCAGCCTGCCCTCGTCCCACACACAGATCTGAGGGGCAGAAGCCCTCCCCTCCCCATGCTTGCCCAGGAGTGTCTGCAGTGGCAGGAGCTGCCCTCCCCCTGTCCCCGCACCCCCCCAAACAAGCCACTCACGGCTCCGTCCCACATCCTGCCCCCCCTGCCTCGGCTGGGCAGCAGCTGTTGGCGCCCCTTCACTTCGGTTCCCAGGGCAGTCGCCCTGCTCACCCCTCCCCTTGCCATGGCATCACAATGGCTAGTGATAGGAAGCCCTGAAAAGGCTATATTGAACAACTGTATGGTTAAATATAATTACAGTTTTGAATGATTTGCCATCATTGGAAAAACTGGAAGTCTTAGGAAGGCTGGGACAGAATCATGGTCCAATAAACACCCTGAGGAACTTCAATCTCAGTTGCAACCAGATTGGGAAAAGAGCAAGAGATCTGCATGCAATATGTTCTGTTGTTCCTATAATGTGACACCACCCTAGAAATGAGAATGTATGTCTCACTTTAAAAAATGGAAACAGCATCTTCTTTTCAGTCAAGGCACTTTCTGTTCTATTTAAGGGGAAGAAAAGCAGGTAGTTCAGTCAAAATGGAATGCCATTCTCCACCCCTCAGCTATTCAGAAGCATTCCCTAGAGATTGCCAGTGGGGGCAGGGGAGAGAGGAAAGTTGTGCTTTAACTCAGTATGGTCCCATGGCTATGGTAGCAACTCGGAACAAAGGGGCCTAAGTTCTATTTCTGCTCAAGGAAGGAAGTTGTAGAATAGCCTTTCCTAGAGATTTTCAAGAAAAGGCTGGATAGATGTGTGTGGGATGGTTTAGGAACAGCAAACCTGTACCTATTCAGGCGATTAAGCTAGATCTTTGAAGTCCCTTCAAACCCTCCAATTCTAGAAGTGACTGAGTTCTTGGAGAGTGCACTGCACAAAGTCCCAAAGAAAACTATTACCGTCATATGTACAAGTGCCCTTAAAGAACAATCATGCGTGGCTGTCTTCTCTGTTGTCTTAATTCAGAAAATTCTTTTTGGTGATCAGCTAACACTGGTTTCAGCCAAACAGCAAGCCAGTGGGAAATCCTGGCAGGCTTTTGGAGGTTTGGGAAAACTGTATCATCATCGCAAACTAAATAACGGTTAGAAGACTTTAAAAGCAGCTCTTTCACACAAAGAGTTGCAATTAGAAGGGAAGTGGGAGGAGAAGGTGGTACATGAGTAACATATGCCATTTGCATGACTAAAAAATGCCTTTTGCTACAGTTTGCATAAAAGATATTACTAAATACATGTCTGTACAGAAGTTGCTTTTTTCACCATTTAAAGCGCTTTATTGTCATGACTTAACAGAAGTATATGGCTTTACAGTACTTTAAAATGGGTACAGTGCTTTAAATTAACCCTTGTTGAATGATGTATTAAATTTGAAGGGCTGTATTTTACAGCACTTTAGCAAACTATGGTGCTTTAAATAACTTGTGTATGCTGGTCACATTCCTGACCCGGGAGAAGCCCCAGGAGGTTGCAGGGCGCACCCTGCTGCTGAGCCTGGAAAGTGCAGGAAGACTCAGAGCTCACTCCCCACTACCAAACAATGCAGTTCTGCAATGTTTAACTTTATAGTGCTATAAAAAGTGCTGTACATTACAGCACTATAAAAATGTGCATGGAGCACTTCTATGTACACCTCATAATTCTAGCATTATGTTGCATTGGTGCCATTCACCAGTTGCATTCTGCACCTAATTTACCTGACCTAAAATAACCAACAAAAATAAATCCAGGTGTTTCACTGTGTTCCTCAACCATCAGCGAGACTGATGACAAGAAATTCATTTTGCTCAATTCTTTAGTCACCTATATGCCCAAAAGAGCAGGCTATTAGTGGCCAGAGGAGATACAGACTGTCAGGTTTATCTAATTTATCCCATCTAATTTCTGTGATTCTTATTTCTACATGCTGGTAAGTGTCCTCTTGGTAGCTGAGAGCTAAAACCCTAATGCTTTTCAGTCCCCAGACCTGTGGGAGTGGGTCAACACAAGGCTTCAGATCCTCATATTTCATTATTTCAGCAAAAATAGAATGTTTTGGTTTAGTAGTAGGATCAAACCCACCCAATGAAAGTCCCTAAAATATCTTTACTTTTACAATTATACCCACTAATGACAAGAAGCTCTCCAGGAAAGAAAGTTCTCCTGCACAGACAGGAAAAAAGCTTGTCTACTGCAACCATAGAAGCAAGACAGATAGAAGCAGAGAAACAAGTAGCAGTGTCTTAATATAGTAATAAACTGAGCTGCATTTAAAAAAGAAACCAGGGTTCCTCTCACCACAAACTAATGTAGTGTTATTTTCCACTTCCCTGAAACATCCCAGTGACCCTTCCAGTGTGACATCCTCTCTCAACATAGCGGAACAGACCATTAGTCTGTATAGTCATGCAGGCCATCTACAGCCCTGCCCAACTTCTGATAGATCAGAAGAGGACAAATCCCTCAACTCAAACTACCCAGAATGCACAAAACCAACTAAGAAAGGCTGAATTATATAGTAGGGACTGAGGAAGAAGAAAATCTGCCCTGCTTCTATTGTTGCAATAGACAAGTAACTCACTTTTCTGAAGTGCAAGACTGGAATATATCATTTTAACTTTACTAGTATATAGCTACAAACCTTAATAGTGGTAACATGTACATTCAGCCTAGTCTTGGTGTCAGCAAGTGCTTTATTTTTCCTCTGAAACCGGCTACCCCAACTACAATATCTACACTTGGCAATTCATTTACAGGATTCAGTAGTATTTTTTTTTTCTGCCACCATACTCCCAGATGATTTCATGACAAATTTGACGGTTTTCTTGCATGTAGGGGTTATTTATTGTAGTAATATACTGTGATCCAGCACCTACCTTTATTTTTAACTCCAATACATTTTCCCCTCTAGAATCCTCTTAAGACAGTCCACACACGCAGCAAGGAGACAAGATGTTGGTGTTACTGGCTGGTATCTTTGTGATCCATATTGCCACTGTGATCATGCTCTTTGTCTCTACTATCTCCAATGTAAGTAATTCTGCCTCTGAACAAAACTGTCAGTCCCTGAACTCAGTCCTTCCATAGTCATAACTCCATATACCATTGAAAAGGGTCATCTTTTGTGTAGCAGGACCCATAGTCTTGCTACACAAAAGACCTCTCAGAAGGTTAACAACGACAACAGGGGAGAGATGGTAGTCAGAAAACATAAGGAGCCTGATTTACCATGGGCTTGCTCCAATTTTATACTAATGTATGTCAACTGAAATAAATACATGCCTGGGGGGGAAATAATCAAGCCACCTTGCTTTAAGTGTTAGCTTCAGGTCCCTACTTCTGAAAGTAATGAAGTATCACCATAAGAATAGAAGGATTTCCTACCCTTGAACTGAAACAAGGTAGCTTCAAGGTGAGGTTTCTACTCCCATGTCTTAGAATAGGCAATACTTGTAACATTCTCTACTCAAGAACTAGTTGAGCAAGTGAAATTAGTGGATGATAGTTGTGAGGTGACATTTATCACCCCATCTAACAGACAGTTCACTATATAATTATAAGATCTCCCATGTTTGTCTGTTTCAGGAATGATAGAGTGCTCTCAGGAGTTGTTTTCCCAAGAGTAAATATACTTCTTGGTACAATTAATTATCATCTATTTGTTAAGACCCTGTACACAACACAAATAAGGACTGCTCCCTGCTAGACTGAAAATACTTTACAATGTGAGATGTATACAAAAGACCTATAAACTTACTATAAGGTTCTGCTTTCCAAAACCTATCACCACAAATATGTAAAACAGGCCATGTGAGGTCATTGTACATACCACTACACAAAATGGCAACTCGTTTAAAAAAAGAGAGAGAATCTGGATATTCATTCATTCATTCAATTTATACAATGACCTTCCCAACAAATGCTCAGGGTAACTTACAATAAGAAAACAGAATAATTTATAAAACAGGAGAACCAACAAGAGAACAAAATAACTTAGAAGACAACAAGAATATAAACATGAAAGAGAAATCCCCTAAACAATATCCCAACCTACTTCTGTTTGCTAAATGCCTGCCCAAATAAGGTCTTACAGCACTTCCAAAGGATGTCCAGACTCATGGTTTGACCAGTTAAAGCACTTATAGATGATCTATGATTGATTTTACCACCCATATCTAAGGAAGAGGCATACTTGTTGGCCAAATTCTGGTCATGAAAGTCCACTGGAATCAATGAGGTTGCATGGATACCGCTGAGGACAGAATTCTATCAGTTAATTATAGGGCAAGGCATATACATACCCAACGTGAGAAGGATAGGTCAAAATGAAGATTATTGCCAGTCTAGGTTAAAAGATTAATTATGTGCATCATCATTCAATTTAACTCCTACTTGCTGCAAAGCAGATAGTAACTAAGCATTCAGAATCCCTTAGAGTGCATGTGGTTCAAGAGCACCTGTGACAGAAAGACCAAGCATTGCTACGCATTCATGACTATAAATTGTTGGGCCAAGGTGGAAGTAACTCTAAGCAGCACAAATACCAAAGGATTGATAGCAGAGCATGTTGTGGGTTGGAAATATCTGACAGAAAATCTCACTGTGCTGAGATGCTGGCCCATAGGTGTTTATTTCCAATGTGCTCTTGCTAACCAAGCTGCAAAGGAAAACAAACTATATTCATTTGAATAAGAGACTTGGATAAAGAACAAATTCTGTCAGTGGCATAAATCAGCATGTGATTATGTTTATCACAACCCAACAGTTCCTTGAACCAAAAAATTTGCTTTCTGCCCTCTTGAGTCAGCCCAGGATATCATCTAGTTGGATATACTGTTAATTATTAAATCTAGATGCCCAGGAGAATCCAAGAAGTCACTCTACAATACTGTACAATATAGAAAATTTCTTCCTGACACTTTCTTATAACAAGCCAGACCCTGAAAAACATGTATAATCCTTAGAACACAATCCTGTTCCATACCACTGAAACGTTTCATCATCAGTGGAGTCCATTAGTACCTATAGGTTTCAGCTAAACTGAGGACATTTTATGCTACACGCTGCAGACATACAGTAAAATGTCAGTCCCTGCCCAACAGGCTTACAATTGAACAGACAGATTCATTTGTAGTTAAGCAAAAGTCTGTTGTTAGCGTACTGTGCAGTGTGAATTGCTGGCCCTGGTCCATTTTACATCAAACAGGAGGCAAAGCCACAGGCCTCCATTTTAAAATTCCAAACCCAAGGGTTTGATGAAGTCTCCTGTCTTTTGAAAACATTGTCTACACAAGCTGTGCAACACATTTAGGTAACACAGTACAGCTCTGTGCCTTTGGCTATGCTGACCCCTGGTGGCAACTCACAACTGAGTGACTAGTCTTCACTAACAGCCTCAAGTCATATTTAGGGGCTGACCTCAAAACCTAGAACAAAAGGAAAACACAGCTAAAAATATCACAAGACTCCATCACAAGTTCTCAGTTTGCCCTGCAGCCCAGTGCCTAGAGCAGTGGTGTTCAGGCATCTGGTCTCACAGGCTGGATGAGTGACACAGGGCCAATCCACAAACCAGATGAGTGGCAGTGATTGTTGGTCCACCAGCTGGATCCAGCAGAAGGTCAGTGTGTGGGTGTGATGTAGTGCACCAGCCCAACCCTGCACATCAGACGCAACTATGGAGAGGCTCCACACACTGGCCCAACCATATGCTGATGCAAACTAGCACACAGGGCCACATCTTTTGACCCACAGGTCCACCCCAGAGGTCCAGAAATTTGACAGCAATTAATGCTGTTGCTGCTCCCCTGATGCCAAATTTCTGGACCCATGTGGAGACTGCAGGCCTGGTCTGAAGGCTAAGAACCACTGCTCTAGAGGGTATGCCACACATTTCTGTATCAGCAGAACTGTAAAGCTGTGTACTGTCCTACTTTGAAACAGTGACAGAGGGCCACTACCAAAAAGAGGTTGGCACACATGCATCTAAAGAACTGTAGCACTTCAAAAGGGAGGTCATGACAATGCTGATCACATCACAGCTTTATTGTGACAATGGAAGCCACTATGTGGCATGAATTAATTAGCTCGTCCAACATT